CAATCTAAATAACCAGTGAAATTTTCATGTATCTACGACTTATACTTTTTGAATAATAACAAATATTTAAAATCGTTTGAGGATAAATCGTTATTATCATTACGCTATTTCGTAAAAATTTAAAATTCAAACATACTTAAAATTTTTCATATAATGAAGCTTCAAATTTTCTCTATAGCTACTTGAAGGAAAACTTATGGAAAACTTATTGTTGTATTTTTAATCCTTAGTTATAAACACAAAAAATTTTATGATTTTTCAACTTCAAAATTACTTGCAAATTTTCGCGTTTTCGACAGATTTCGTAAAAATTTGAACTATAAACGCTTATAAAAAAAAAAATGTGACTAACGACTTTTAATTTTTTTTTAGCTACAATTAGAACAACTCATAAGGAACCTTGTATTAAATTTTCATGTTTTTTTGGTTGTCCAACATTTTTTTACCGACGCTTCAAAAAAAATTCTCAAAAAAATTTCAGTGGTCAATAAATAACTAAAAAAAGTCGAACATTTTTGAAAATTATACTGTATATAAACTGTATACTGTATTATTAACATTTGGTGAAAATTTCAAGTATTTACAGACTTACAGTGATTAGTTTTTGAATTACAACCATATAAAAATATCGATTTTTTGGAAAACTTTTCGGAAATGTTTACTTTTGACCTCTATAATGCATCAAGGATCTTCAATTTTACATCGGAAACCACCCTCAAAGTTTGAAATCGAAGCATTATTTCGACTAGTTATGCTGTGCATAGACACACAAAAAAAAAACACACACATCATTGTAAAATCAATACATTCATCACTTCGTTCAGAATCTAAAACCAAATCCTTGTTCAATCATTGTACGTCCCGCTTCTCTCAAATATAAAAGCGGTGTTCATTAATATGCCTATCTTTATAAAGTAATATTATAAACATTTCATTATTTCGTGAATATTTAATATTCCAAACTTGTGAATAGCCAAATAATATAATTAATAAATAATAATACGTGTACCTAGCTTATTACCTATGGCACTATGAACCGCGTCGAGAGCTACGATTAGAATATTTGATATCACTATATACATAAAGGTATGCCTATACCATGCTACATAATAATAAAATATAATAATTAAGTTCCTTTGTAGCAGGATGTTATATAAATATTAAATATGTACCTATACCTATATACATTAGGTATATAGGTACTAATTGTTCTGTTGTAATTATAATATAATATAGTACAGGTAGGTATTAAAAAATCAACTTTTTAAATAGGTACCTATACATATGCCTACACCAACCTATTGAATTAAAAAAACAATGAAATAGGTACTCACACTTGTTTGTGTTTATTTCACATAAGTAAATACATGTTATTGCTCACAAAATATATATAGGTTATAGTAAAATAGTAAAAATAAAAAAAAATTTTAACAACTTATAACGGCTATAACATACCTATTATTGCATCTTACACATTATTAAAGTATTAACTCTCATGGTATTATATAAGCTTATAGTACCTACCTGAAAACAAATTATAATTGTCAAGACAAATTTACTAATTATATTTGTATAAGTATAATTAATAAATATGTTATAAATATAAAAAACATTTGTAAATAAATTTCACATATAATATATATAGCTCAAATAAATAAAATTACTAAAAACTTTCTATTGCCTACTACAGTAGGTAGATGACTTTTTATCTTGGAGACTTTTTTTCCGTACCTGTAATTTTTTCCCGGACTTTTCTTCCATTTTCCATCAAAATAATTGACTTTTATAGATTCTAGACGGAGCAATTGTAGGTTTAATATAGGTGGCCAATATAGCTACATATTTACTATATAATTTTTTAATGGCGTAGCCTAAGGTTTCTCTTTTGTCTGTTCACACCTCAGATAATACATATCAGCATAATATTATATTATGTAATAAAAATTCTCTGATTATTAACTTTAAACCACGGAATAGTAGTCCGTGCTTTAAACTTTAAAGGATGGTATCTGATAGCAGATCTATCAACTTATTATAGTTTATGCTTTCAAGAGATCAAAATCGAAAATGCTAAGTATTTTTCAATGTAAAGTGGAGACAAAAATGAAGCCGATAAAGTCGATTTTGTTTTTTTGGCATACCTAATTATTAAAAACGAATAACTGTAAATAGGTACATGGGGTCATGGACCCCGCTGTTTTAATTAATATAATTTTTTATTTTCATTTATTTTGTAAGATTAAGAAAAAATCAATATGACGTGCTGCATTGTCTTGAAATTTGATTTTGCCCGCTCCTCCGGTTTATATTTCAGGCTTTCTGCGGACGTCCTTATATAGACAACAGAATAACACAGTTCGACATTCAAATATTTACGACTGGATATTCATAGGTAAAATAGCGACACCAGATCAAACGATTTTCTTGTTTAGTAGGAAAAACGAATAACTAAGGATACTTGAAATATTCTATAATTTATGTCTATTTTATCATCTCACACACAATTTGATAACATTTTCAAAATATTTAGACTCTTTGAGTTATTTATAGACAATTGATAGGTACTTGAATTTTTTTAGATTTTTTACTATAAATGTCGATAAAATTTCATTGAGTCAAAAAGCTTGAAAATTTAATGCAGTGTTACTCGTTAGTTGTTTTAATAGAAGATTAAAAATGTTAAAGATACATGTGGACGATTTTTTTTAAAAGCATCTGCAATTCAAATGTTGCATAATTAACTCGTCTTAACCACGAAAAGTTGCTAATCATTTTGAAGTCAAAAATTTAAATGTTCAATTTTTATTGTTAATATATTATTWTTATTATTATTATATTATTTTATAAATATTTTTATGGTATTGTTTTTTTAAACAAAGATTAACGAATTTAGTTATTTTGTTGTAATTCAAAAATATTAATTGTGGGTACTTAGTAATGACGTTTTAAAATGCAATGGTTCATGCGATATGCGAAAATTAATTTAACCTAGATAGTAGATAACATATATAATATATTATATATGTCTATACCTAGTAAAATAAATTATTTAAATAGCAATATAATATCATTAAATATAATATATTTAGTATATATTTATATTAAACCTACTAAATACTTATAATAATAATTTATTATAGCATATATTATATAATAATATTAATTATATAGAGATTGCAAACTGTCTTCTTTCAAAATTTTGTAGTCAGTGATTTGTCATTATCATTAAATTTAAATTTAAATATAATATTTATATTAGGTACGTTGACTGATTGGCCTACTTGATATCTACTATATACAGCAGAATGGTACCCACTCATCCACTTTTTTTAGTTAGACATCTATAACTATATCTGGTATCTGAATGTACATTCTGTTAAAGAATAAAATGTGTTCATTTAATGCACATATGTTTAAATAAGTAGGTAGATGAATAATTATTCTGCATGTATGCATTTATTATTTTTATTTTCATTTTTAAATGTTCATGATGTTTTGTCTAAAATATTGTAATGAATATTAGGTACCTACACTTAATAAATGAAAAATAACAAAAAAAATGTGGTAAAATGTGTGTTATGGTGTTATATATAGTACCAACAAATTGTCAATAAATTAATGGATAACATCTATAAAAGCAAGTCGTAAATAAATGTTTTTAAAACCACGAAAATGAATTCCAAAATTCTAGTGGTTGTGCTTCTAGCATATTTTTTGGCAAGTTTATAAATATATTTTTTTATTTACATCTAAATTCTCATATTGTAATCAGTGACTTTTCCTAACAAAATATTATATATATATTTCCTTTAAACTCTGTCATTTTTATTTAGTATTATAGAAGTAAAAATAAAACTAGATCAATTTCTTCTAAATTCAAATTCAATTTTTTAACTACTAGGTATTGTTCAATAATTATAATACTTTGTTTAGGATAATTATCCAGCAGCCTCAGTTAGCCCAGTTAAATTTTCAACTTTGAATGTGAAAAATACTCCAGCCTATAACAAAAACACTCTAGTTTTCAACCAAGACCAACCTATTCAAAGTCATGTAAGTTTATTGTTAAATGTTAAATGTTATAAATAACATAAATAATTTTAACTTGTAAGTATGAATAACTAAATTTGTATACCTAAATTTATAGTTTGTTTAGTCTTAAATAATTTAAATATTAAAGATAGCTAATAATGGTATTTTAAAAATATTTATATTTAATATTTCTAACTTTCTGTTTTTGAGAATTCCAAAGTAAATTTTGTAGTTCTTTAAAATATTCCTCCTCCACCAGGACTTAGATCACCTTCTGCAGTCCCTGCAGCTCCCCTGCAATTAATTTTCTACTAAGTATAAAAATAAAATTAATTTTAGACAAAACAGTTTTATTTTAAATATAATATTATAATATTTGATTATTATTTATAATATGCAAAGTCACCAGTCACTTCAACCATCAATACTTTCTGTTCCAACTACATTTTTAACAAATTCAATTAAAGACATTTTTAGACAAAATATTTTATTTTTAATAGAATGTTTAATTAGTTAGTTAAAAAATATAAATAGTATGATTAGTTTAATAGAAATGACTTAAAGACAGAGTTGACAATTTTTAATAGAATGTTTAATTAGTTAGTTAAAAAATATATCTATAAAGGGAAATAAAAACCTCCAAGGGTTAGACATAGATGACAAAGATGATGATTATGTACATGAATATGAAGAAGAACAAGTAGAAGAAAAAGAAGAAGAAGAAGAAGAAGATGGCAATGAAGAAGATGTGGAAAATAATAAAATTATGGTAAGTTCAACTCAAAATAAACCATCAATCTCAATGAAAATTAATGATAGTTCTAACATTCTTCAGACAAATCAACCTATAAGTTCTTCAACTTCTAAACCCATAGTTCCAGAAAGTGTGAATCAAGTAAGTTTTTCTCTTAATAATTTTATTTTTAACAATGCAGATGTTATTAACAAATATATCTTAAAAGGAAAATGAAAACCTCCAATTGAACTTAGATGACAAAGATGAAGATTATATACACAAATATGAAGAAGAACCAGTAGAAGAAAAAGAAGAAGAAGATGGAGAAGAAAGAGGAGATGAAGAAAATGTAGAAAATAATAAAATTATGGTAAGTTCTACTTAAAATAAACCATCAAGCTCAATGAAAATTAATGATAGTTCTAATATTCCCCAGACAAATCAACCAATGATAATTTCTTCAACTTCTAAACCCATAATACCAGGAAGTGTGAATCAAGTAAGTTCTTCTGTTAATAATTTTATTTTTAGCAATATCAATTTTATAAAAAAATATAACTATAAAGGGAAATGAAAACCTCCAAGGATTAGACATAGATGACAAGGATG